ACTTGCATTTTGCACACACACTCACACAAACACACACATTTTCCAACAGGAGCATCAAATCGCAATGGCAATGCAATGCAACGCAATGGAAAACAACGGAAGCGTACACATTTTTGGTCACAAGCCCAAATAAAACCAATTTTGATCAGAATTAATATTTCTGGTTTCCTGCAATGTTTCGCGCAAATTTTGCTTCTGCTGCTGCTGCTGCTGCTGCTTTTTCGTTGTTGATTCGATTCATTTTTTTTCGTTCTGGTTTTGGTTATGCGTTTGTTTGCTTCATTTGTAAACAAGCTTTTTGATCATGAAAACATGCCATTGAGATGACACCTCGCCATCGACAGTGGCGTTCCGTTCCTTTTCATTGGCAAATTATGATTAAATTCGCTTCATTTGAATGAATCGATGGAAAGTTTGTCTTTGTGAAAATAAAATTTGTTACCAAAAATCATTGAATGATTTGTTTGTTGTGTGTTTTTTTTTTCATCTTCAAAACGGAACTCAATAGTTTGCCCGGGTTGTTTTCTTGTACATTTTACCGGAAAAATAACTGCATCCGGAATATTTTGCCTAAAGTTAGCCTATTGCAATAAATCGACCGGCCGTTATTCCACGTATGCACACCAATGGTCAGGCTATTGAAAGTTTCTTCTTGCAAGTTTTTCGACGAAAATAACTCAATCGATGCAATTTCGATGATTATACGAATACCGAGGCAATGTAATCAATTTTTTTCCCGTCGAACGATACACAAACCAGTTTTTTTTCTCTCTTCTTGGAATTTAATTTGATTCGCAATTTTTCTCATGTTGTCTTCAGCCTTCATGCTGTTTTCAGATCATTGACCGATGCAATTTTCCCCTAGCTGTGAAAAATGAAATGATGCAGCAAAAAGCGTTGTCTGCTGCGAGAGATTCATCCCAAATGACTTGAAGCGAAACACGCGCGTCTCTCTCTATCTCTCTATCGCTCATCCATTCTCTTGTCACAATTTGAATGTACGTCTTTTTTCAGTTCGAGGTTTGAGAGATAGATAGACGATGCTGATGTGCTGTGCTGTTGGGAAGGCAGATGTGGGTGGCACTCGCGATGATGTGTTTATGGTGGATTTTGGTACAAGTGCATCGTGTATTTTCAGCTATTTTAACAATTCCGAAGGCGAGTCATTTATTTGTTGTTTCCTCAATTCGTTTTCATGCTACGGCATGCGCGCCTCATATTATATAATAATATACATTAGTGCATTTAAAACATAGCAGCAGCAGCGGTATCAGCATCGATGGCAGCACTGAAATCTCATAAGCATGCTCATGTTCACGTCCAGTATGCAATGCATAAAGAAGAGATAGAGTGAGAGCGATCTGTGCCAAATGGTTCATTTTCACATTATTTTCATGTGTTCAAATATTGAAAAAGTTTTTGGTCGGTCGGTTATTCTAAACGAGTGTAAGCAAGCAAACGAACGAATGAACAAGAGCAAGAGCAAGTGAATTGGAGAGCCAGTGGCAAGGAGCAGCCAGACAAACCAGCTAGCCAGCCAGCCAGCCAAAAACCATGGCAGGCACAATACACTTTTCACCAGTGCATATGTATGTTTATATCCTTGAAAAAAGAAGAAACAAGAACATTTGAGTCAAGAGAGCTGGAAAACAGTCCATTTTAAGCACACGACCAACCATTACCAAATGAACAAGTTTTATCATTAACGCCATGGAAAATAGTTGATTTCGAACTACAAAAGAAGGCGAAAAATAAAACAAGAAAAAAAAACAAGACCGCAGAGCTTCGCTTCGCTCCGCTCTGCGTTCTTGAGTTTTTAATTCATTAATCTATTTTGTTGTTTCACAACAAACTATTTTTTGGCGCACTACATGAAATGTATTTCATCAAAGTAACTTTGAAGTAATATATTTATTTGCAAAATGAATTACAAGATCTTGGTTTTTTCTAGCGGCATTTCTCACTTAAAAAATGGGACCATTCCAATAAATATTGAACAATTTCTTCCATTTCTATCAATTCGGGTAAATGGATCAACATTTACACTGAATGTGTGAAATACGTTCGCAGTATGAAGCTTAAGTACGTAATACTTAGCATACTTAACCTTAAGTACGTACTTAAGCTTGATACGTAAGTACGTTAAGTATGTTAAGTACGTACTTAAGGATGACAATCTTTATACTTAAGCTTAGGTACGTACTTAAGATTTGTACTTGCTAACAGAACCGAATTTATGAAATTGCAGTGAATTCACCAAAATGTTTTAGAATTGACTGGAATGTAGTAATTTGGTTCACATTAAAGTACAGATAAATCCCGTGTATCATCTCCACTTGTATTGTTTTTTACATTGAAGGGCGTTGCACGCACCTTAACATTCACAATACAAACTCAATGCGAGTGGAGACGCCTTATGAAAAATGGCACAGATTGCTAGTGCTAAGGTTTATCTGTACTTTGACAATTCCAGACAATTTCATACATTTTTATACCATTTCAATGGGAAAGAAGAAATTCCTTAAATTCTTGCACATTCGTTTCAATTTTTTGCGTGAGAAATGCCCCTAGGGTTTTATTTCTTTTTTGAAATATACTGCCTTTGGTTTGAATTGAATAAACAATATGAGCTTAGAATCTAAAATCACTTTAATTCTGTTCAAGACTCAGAAAATATTATACGAAAAATTAATGTAATTTTTAAACAACATTTGATAATAAAAATTTGATTGGCACTTTGAGATATTATGCACTTATTTGTCGTTACTGCAACTATTTTAAATTAAATAAAAAATATGAGCATAAAATTCAAATTTACCATAATTTGTTTCAACACTAAAAAAGTATCTAGGAAAAAAAAGAGCAGATTAGTAGCTCTACATTTTATGTAGTGCTAATAACAAACACATACACACGAACATATTAAAGAAAACGATGGCATCGTCTCGGTTTTATAACATGCATCTCATGTTTTTCTTTTCGTTGTGGTGCGAGATAGGATTCTCAGCTCATTGGCTGACGAATGTATGCATCGTCATAAAAAAAGAGAATCACACGGCCGCAACAGCATCGGCAGCAGTAGCAGATACACACAAAGCTAAAGAAAGCCCCAGTGCCGAAACATAGCTTAAGTTTGTTTCAAAGGAACATGAATTCCGACAAAAGTTCTTTTATCCGCAGTTAAAAATGCGGCAAAGGCAACGAAAAAAAAAACACATACAGCAGCAACAGCAGCAACAACAGCAACAGCAGCAGCCGTAGCAACAACAACAACAAAAACGTCAACTAGCATTTCGTTAGTTGGGTAGAGAGTGAGTGTGGCGTTCGCTCGCGCGCGCTACAGTCAACAGCCAAAAGCCGGAACACGCAAAATGCAATGCAGATGTCTAATGGTGAGCAGGCGAAGAGCCTATGGACGACTCACATTCGTGTAATCCCACCCATTCCGTTGTTTTATTTGGTTTTTATTATTTATATTTTTTTTTGCTGTAGTCGTGTTGTTACTGCGTCTTGAAAATATTGTTCAAAAAAGTACACTTGAGTGCCATGCGCCCGAATTTTTCACTCTTTGCTGCTACCATCAAAAGAATTCTCTTGAGAGGTAACGAAAAAAAAGAAGAGCCATGACAAAGGCTCAACCATTCAACAGTCATTTGAATTTGTCCAAAAAGATATACACACACAGAGACACCGTACCGAAGACAAAACTTATTTCATTTCTTGGGATTTATGTTCCAATAAAATGTTAAAGTTTGTCACACTGAATTTTTCGTGAATTAAATCACGAGATATATAATTTGATATGACTGACTGACGCACACACACTCACAAATATGTTTGTCGCGAAATATGACGACCATCTCAAATGTTGAAAAGGAACGAGATGAAGTGGAATAGCAAGAGTGTCGTTAAGTTAAACAAAAATATGCTGCGGTACTCGTCGTGATCAAGACAACGCCGAAATTGGAATTTAAAATAAAATAAAAACAGAGAAACACGGGAACAAACATAAGCTCCTTTGCTGCTCGCAAGTCGATTTATGTTATAACTCTTCGTAATACCATGGTGCAGGCAGTGGGAACATGCATATATACACAGCTAGAGCTGTAGTACGCATTTATATCGTTTTGGCATAACAAATGTAACAAATGGATTCGGCATGCCGAGCAACGCATTTCTCGCTGTCGATAAGTGCATATTGAATGCAGTGTGGAGCGTGCGAGCTTGAAAGGGCAAACAAGTGGAAACGAGCGAGCGAGTGAACAAGAGTAAGAGAGCGAGAGAGAGAGATATAAAAAGAGAGAGCGGTGTGTGTAAGAGGGGACATGATCGAAAATATGCACATACTCAACCATAATCTATGCGATGGAATGAAATCTGTCGATTTTATGTTTCGCTTCCTCGTCTAGCCCCAATCTCAACCACGTTCGATCCTTCTTTCTTGTAGCTCTGTCCGTCGTTACCTCTCTTCCATGCTTGCGCTCACACTCACTAGCTATGTGTCTCTCATTTTTTCACATTTGAATGAACCCGTTTTCAGTCTCCCTTTCTCTATCACTCTCTTTCACCCATTCACCTCTTCTCCCACTGCCAATACAAATCTCTTTCGAAATAGTCATCGCGAACACTCACAAATCCATAAACAACATGAAACAAAATCAAAAAAACCCAAAACCCAAAAACTCTAACATGCGAAAAGTTTTAGTTGGTTTCGGGAAAATTCTTGCATGGGATTTAAAAGCGATTTCAATATCCCTTATCATCAAATACAATTTTACGATTGAAACACGTGAACGAAATGAAAAAAAAAACAACAACAACAACAACATACACTCAACTACGAACAGTAGTAGTTGTAATATTGAGTGAAAAGGCATTTTCATCATGATGATATGGCATAAGAGCTTTTGAACTTTTAAACAAAATGAGTATCAGTCACCGAATAGATGGTATCCATAGTCTCGCCTTCCCATCGAAAATCCTCGAATAATTATATTTACCTCGCTCCGGTCGTCGCCTCAACAAGAATGCATTTATCGACAAAACATTGCTCTGAACTTCTCCAGTCCGTTCCTGGAATATCTCATCTGGTTGACATTACTTATGCACTTCGATGTTGTATTGTTGTTGTCGTCTTCGTTTTTATTTCGGTGGATGATTTCACAAAACTTTAATCCTTAATCCAGTGGCGTTCGCGAACAATTTCCACGACAGCAATTGCAAACGAAATGATGCTTCATCGTTGTGTTATCTGCATCGTATTGTTTGGCACACACACACAAACACACTGTTTATGACTTATGATAAAAATGCCATAATCCCTTGTCGCTGTTGTTTTTGCTGTTATCTTTCAAATATGTGCATCAGCGCACGCACACAAACAGTTCAATGGGTTCATAAGAAAAATGTGTTCCGAGTGTTCGCGGAATTTTCTTCACATTTCATTGTCTATTGGAATTTCAATTTTATGCTTGCACACTTATTCTCTTCGTCTTATTTCCTCCGTTCGTGTCACAAATCCTTTTCCATTGTCTCTATTTGTTCGTCAACGATGACAAGTCGTCTTTTTTTCCACGCTTGCACTTAATGTTTTTGATTCACCATTTCATGAAAACAATTGAATTGCTCTTTGGTGCAGTTTCTTTCGCTCATTTTGGCTCTGCGTGTATTGCTTTCTTTTTCTCATTCACCGCAAATTTGGTGCTTCTTAAAAATGAGAACATTAAAAAAATGCACACTCACACAGAATACCTACACTACGATCACACGACGAAAGAAAAAAACTGAAAATAACAACGGGAAAAAAAGTTGACAAAACAGCACACAATATCAGCAATATAATTGATATCGGTAGAGCAAAATCTTGGCGAATGAGAGAAAATTCTATGGGAGGAAAATGTCAAAATTCGCACAGAGAAAAAAAAACGGAACGTTTGCAGCAAGGGGGAGCAATACACAGCGCGTGCAGGGAGGAAATGAATGAGTGAATACTCAAGCACATATACTTATACGCATATACACACACGAGCACATGCCTGCAGAGAAACAGCTGTTCAGCATTCCAATTGGCATGAGATGGTGTCGATGTTTGAGTCCTTACTAACGGTGCGCGCATAAATGAATGGTATATTTCTTGAGAGTGAAAAAAAAACATTATTTATAATACAAGGAGTTGAAGAAAAGAAAGAAGCTAGAAAAGTGAAGAAAGAACGTAAACAAGAGGGGTTTTTTGTGTTTTTGGACGAACGAAAATTCATCGAAGAAGAAGTATCCATTTGCGTGTTTTTAATTCGCATCTCTACGATTTGAAATTAGACGTAAGTACTTAGCGCTCTCTTTTACTCCTTACTTTCGATTGTTTGTTTGTTTGTTTGGTTGGTTTGATGATGATGATGGTGTTGTTTATTTTTTCTTCTTTCTCTTGAGAAAAGTTGTGTATTTTTCCGCGTTTACTCTTTTCCTGCTCAGTTTGCCATCATCATAAATTTCATTGTAATTCATTGACCTCGTTCGACGACATGCACACACACACACACAAACAGCGAGAAAAGGAATCAAGAGAGTTGTGAGAGTGTGTACAGTGAAACGTTTTAAACAACTTAAAAACAACTTTCTACCTCCTGCAATATAGAACCCCGCGAGTGTGTGGTAAAGTTTCCAAACCAAATGAATTGAACATACCATTGTTTTAATTGCGTTCTAGTGGTTTGGTTTTCGTCAACGTTGCTGCTTTCTTTTTTTTCCTGCTGTTCGTGTTGAATTGATCGATTGGCGTTTGCCATTGTGAATTATATACGTGCTTGGGTAATCCTTAAGATAAGCGATATTTTTCAATTGCGTCGATAAAATGCCAGTTCTAAATATATCCTTTCATATGAGTAAAGGAAATCTTATAACTATACATTTGGTTCTTGTTGTTGTTGTTGTTATTATTATTCGTGCTTACCTTATTTGTTTGCCCACTTGTAATGTTGCTTGCTGTGTGTGTGTATCTTGGAAATGCGTCATTTCTTTTCAAATAAAATCCAATTACGCGTGCAATTGCGTCGATTCTTTGAAATCAATCAAAATACCATATTGTGTGCGCCTCTCCAGAAGAAAAAAGAATAGAAAAGGCAAAAAAGAAATATGGAAACCTATAAATATATGCGGTGTGTGTCCTTGTGTCGTATTGCTTCCAATGCGCCATCTCTTGCTATATTGCATAACATTCAAATGGAAACAAAACAACAGCTTCGAATCCATCGCAGGCAATAAACGAAGAACAACAAGCGGTTTAATTACGAAAGATAACCGCTGTAGCGTTAAAGCCAAGTTAGATTATGATTTAGTAGGAAATTCACGAGCAATCTACGTAAATGCATTATATAAACCCTAGGTTTGTTTCAAGCCAAATGTGTATCACACTCCATTTGCCTAACGCTTTTTTTCATCTTCTTCTCTTGCCAAACACGGCAGATATCATGCTGAAGTTGTGTGCGTATGACATTGAAACTACATTTCGGCGCAATCAAGTTTGAACTTGAAAAACGGATGATGAGAGAGAGAAAAAAACGACGACAATTCAAATTCATACAAGTGCACCAATGGTTTTCAGTTTGATGCAGTTTAGATTGCAATATTTACTGATATGACACTGCTCTGATTGCGCTTAATCAAGTGGTTTGGATGGTGGTGCATCTGTGGATTTATTTAAATTGCTATCAATTATTTCAAACAGACATGTAAAGTTTTGAATTTGAATTCCGGAAAACCGTTTCGGTTACACACATAGACAGACACACACTCATTTAATTCAATGCGATTGACAATTTTTGAAATTAAAATCGTCATACTGACCTAACAGACAGAAAATAATCATCGATTAATCGTAGCGCAAATAAGCAAAAAAAAAAATGTGAAAACGTGCATCTCAAACGCATGCTTCACAAGAGGCTGGCATTGAACTTTGCGGTATTTGTAACGGCGTTCTTTTTTTTTACAACAGTTTGGTCAGGAACGGCGGAAAAAATGTAAACAATACGAGTGTGTTGAACAACGATAGGTGCAACTGTTTTCATTTTTTTCATGCAGCGGTTGTGTATGTATCAAGCACAATTATTTGTAAGTATTTTTTTCTTGTCGCCCAGCCAGATAACCCAGAATAAACATGCACGTTTTTTTTTCGAGTGTGTGTTTGGTTTGAATTTCATGTTTTCATAAAGGGTTCGTGGTATTTATTTTCGGCAAAATTACGCCGTAAATATTATGGTGTCCTTCACCCGAAACCCATTTTTTTCTGTGTGTCTCCCAAAACCGTTTTTTTTTCGGGGCCTCGGATTACGACATAGCAAAACAAAATCGAATGAAATGTACAAAAAAAGTAAATCAAAGCATTTTTATGGTTTTATATTTTATTTGCAGACAAAGTCCAACGTACGAGCGCGATCAAGAAAAACATATTGACAATAATCATGTGAATCGACGCAATTCGGACAGAGAAGAGAAAACATCCATCAGCCGACCAAAACATGCCGAGTCTGTGAAACGTGCTTGTCAATCGTTAAAACTGATAACATATCAGACGAAACCAACAACAACAATGATAAACCAACAAACGAAAGAAGAAAAAAAAATCCCGAAATGAGAATTGTGTACGTATTGCGGGCATGAGTACGAAATATTATTAAATGCTATCGATAAATTATTTCGTTTTAATGGTTTGAATTAAGAGGCAATTATAACAATAATTTCATACAAACACTTATTTTCCGTTGTGTTGCTACAAACACATACGGTTGCATTGTGTCGCGCGCACCATCAAGTGCCAATTGAAATTGAATTAGACAAATGGTTTTTTGGGGCCAATCGAGTGTTTGTGAATCCAGTGTGTGTGTGTGTGTAAATATATGGTATTAAAAGCGGACGAAGAATGAAGTCGGCCGGTACAAATAAGTGTAACAATACAAAGACTATTGACGAGAAACATTTCCACGATTGGATTATCAGTGGTTCAGTTAATTATCGTAATGATCGTTATCATCTAAATTGAATAAGAGCAATAATTTCCAGTCATTTCGTTATATTTCCGCTTTTTTCCTTTGTTTTCTCCCTCTTTCAATCTACTTATCCTTTTCACGCACTTTCTATTCCACACTAATTCCGCCCACTTTCTATCTTTCTCCTATCTATTCCTATCTCCAGTCTTGGCATAGAAAATACGTGTAAAATTCCAATGTTTAATTGCGTTTCATGTTTTCAATTCGGAAAAGGTGAAATTCCAACAACATCAAAATAACCATAACAAAATAAAAACATTAAAAACATATTACATTGGCCATGTGTATGAATCATGGCACACATTAGTAATATTCATGTGAATTAATGAATACACAAAAGACTAAAATCATACATAGAACGACGGGAAAAAAGTGAATCTAATAAATAAACAAATAGCAAGACCGAGAAAATGCGTTACCAAGAAAGAGAGAAAAACAGAAGAACAAAAACAAAAATGAGAGAAAAACAATTACGATCGAAGCAATAGACGACGACAAACGACGACGGCTATTCACTTGATGACGAAAATAAAACAGAAAAAAAACACTCACACATAACAACAACAATAACACCGAATAAACGATAACGGGCCAACGGAATGATTTTAATACGTTTATTGGCTATTTGCTTAGTGTGAACGTTAATCGTTGTGTGTGCTGTGCATTGTACGTAGCATAGAGCATAAGACACACACAATTACTGTGTGTTTTTTTCTCTCGTGTATTTGTCGAAACGGCAGCGCAACAGTGGAGTTTCGGTGCGATAGTGAGAGCTCTGCCTCTGTATATATATATATATATTACAAGCCATAGAACTGGCACAGTCAGTCATTCGTCAAATAGATTTTCGAAGTGATACTTCATCGACAAATACAGCAAAACTCAACACAACACTAGCAGTCTGCAACTAGCAGCAGTGCATAGAACATCTCTCGTTTCAAACAAGTTGTTAGTATTTTTTTTTATTTTTTATTTTTTCATTTCTCGCCCCCCATTCGACAGAGAAAACAGAATAGTTTGAGAACGGGAGCAAACTGTTCGTTCAAAATAACTAGAAAAAAGAAATTCACTTTGATTAATTTTTCTGTTAATTTTCTCTCACTATTTTAAGTTTGATCGTTAGAACCGAAACAAAAGAGAAAAGTTTCGTTGTTTCTTTTTTTTTTGTTTAATTTATTTATTTTTTATTTATTTCTTTTTCGTTTTTTTTTCTCGGTATTTTTTGGTTTGGTATTTTTGATTTTTGTGATCGTGAAGGGAACAAAATCAAGGAATCATTCAAAAAATTCAACCAAGTAAACGCAAAGGAAATCAATTCAAAGAAGGTCAATTTTATTCGCTGGAACTTTCAACCAAACACAAGATACAAGACACAAAACTTTGGTCATTGGCAGTTAATCGTTGTATGGGTAAGTCGATGTTATTGTTTTTCTTTCTCTTTCTTTCATATATTTTCAAGCTTATTTTGCTCTTTGCATTTCCCTTTCATTATACATATTTGGCACACTGAAATGCGTATGTGTGTGCCGTCATATGATGAAATGTTCACTACAACACGTTCTTGTTAGATTGAACGAGAGAATGCACGAACGCACGAGTGAGTAGCAACGACGTTTTCACGACTTGAACGCAATACTCTTTTTTCGCTTTTCACTTTTTGCTACACGGTGAAACCACGTTTTGACTGTCTTAATCGCAGTCAGCTGTTTCATTGTAAACGCTTGTTTCTTCGATTCATATGTTCCAATATCTCTCTCTCTCTCCCTCTCTCTCTCTCTCGTTCGCATATAGCATAACCGTATGCTCACGCTCTGCGCCACAATTTAGTCATACACACTCTCATATGTGTGTGCACACAGTGTGTAGTCATTTAAAAACTGGCCATAGAGATACAGATTCAGATAGCGAATGTGAAGCAGAGTAGTGTTTTTCGAAACACTCACAAAATTGTACGACGTAAAATAAATAACAAGCTCATTCACTTTAATATCCCTTTGTCTTACTCGAATTTCAACAACATTCCGAATTTCACAAGTCAGCGCAATTTCTAGCGAAATGATATGACGACCACGGCAACGACGACGACAGACACAGCAAAACCCAAGAGCCGAAGTCGAAACACACGCATGATTCAATCGATGAGTCATTAACATTGCGATCATTGTGTTACTGTGTTATCGTGCTCAACAGCTGCCCCAACCCAGTCATATCCGTTAGATTTTGTATGTCTGTGTGTATGCGCACCGATGTTTTTTTTTCTTCATTTTTTAAATAACTCCAAACTCCAAATGGGTCAACATCGAGTTAGAATCGTGTATCGGTTTTTCCAATTATCGTTGCTGCTTTTGTTATAGTTCTACACATCGGAAATTATAGCAAAGTAATTTTCAAATTGCGCGTCGACAATTCAACGGTAATTTGCTTTTATTTTCATTTTCCTCGCGGTTTCGGGGGCAAGTCAATGTTGATGATATCAACTGTCCCAAATAAAAACGGTGAATAATGAGCGAACGCGCGCGCAAGTTGGAAATAAAACTATCGTAGGCGAAATAATGATGCATGCTCGCTCGTTCGCTCACTGGCTCGTTCATTCTTGTTTATTCTTTCTTCGACTCGACTCGACCCTTCATTTCAAGTCCGAGTGGAACCACTTGTTGAGCGGGTGAAAAACACAGCACATTCGTGTCGAGGTCTCTTCTAGTTGTTTCTCGTTTTTGTTATTCACGTTGCGCTCACACAAATCCAATGCTGTAACCTGATCGATTCTCCAGTTTGAATCACTTTATCGTGGTCGCACGCGCGCACACACACTTTGTATGACGCAAATCGAATATGATTTCCGAGTACTTTCAAATATAGGTATTTGCGTAATTGTTTACGAATTTCCATTGTATCTAATTGAGTCAATCTCAATTCAATTAGATATCCGTCGCAGAAATCGCGTTGCTGCTGTTGTTATTGTTTTTTTTTTAATTTTATTAAGGTGCAATTAAATAGCTGACTTAATTTTTGCGCATTTAGTGATGTCGTCATGTGTTTTGTGTGCAGATTGAAGAGTCGGTACGTCTGCTCTTCATTAAATTCTCAGCGAAGCAAAATTCCATCTCGTTTTTCGCAAAGCATCACGAAACAAATGAGCACAGCCGACAAATTATGCAGTTTGCATTTTGGGAATGATGCCAAACAGAAATGATCTAAAGCGTAGATTCAATTTTCTTGGATCACTTTCAATTATTTTTGTGCGCAAAGGCTTTATTTTCATAGTTTTTTTCCTCTTCTCCTTTGCCCGGATACCAAAAAGAAAAAGAAACGAGCGAATAGAATCGAGTAAACTGGATTCATACAATAAATTGGATATTGATTCATACAATAAAAAAATGTGTCATCATCGTTACGAACTTTCGATATTGCGATGTTGAGCGCAATGCTAAACGACATCATAAATGGCATTCAGAGATAATAATAAACCATTCCGAATTCCATGAAATTGGCGTGTGATAAAAAGTGAATAGTGAGGGGCGCATACTTGAGAATGGTGTCAGCACCGGCGGTTGACGCTTTTTCTGTCAATATTCTCAATGGGTGTCGCGTGACTTGATGAGTTATTTGCTTTCTTGTGTGCGGTGAACAACAACAACACGCCGTCATCATGGAATGACACTTGTGTGTATGTGTCATCAAATGCGAAAGGTGTAAAAAGTGTCGTCTTGTGTGTATGTGCTAATTTTTTTTTTCATTTAATGACCTGAACTTAATCTTCTGCTTGAAAGATTAATGAGTCACCTCCTTTGAGCATTATTAAGCTTTAACCATAAACAAATTGACACATGTTTTCTAATTCTGTTTCTTCTTTTTTTTCTGCCTCGAATGTTTAGATCGTGAAAAAAGATCAGTTAATAGTGGAGACGAGCCTGGCCTGTGTAAAACTCAGGCCTTGTTTGATCCAAGTGACATTGCAGCTGCACTCAAAATAACGGACTCAGGTATTTGTAATAATGGTGGCTACGTACCGACGGTTGGTCGATGGGGAAATGAATGGCCAAGTTGACTCGCCGTCGCGAGCTTCGGTGAGAAACGACGGCTGAGCCACAGAACTCAGCCGAATGATGTTGGTGTCTGCCGTAACCAATTGGTATCGGGCGATGTGAATGTGTCACTGAAACCATCATCGCAATCGTCGCCGAAATGGCCAATGTTGCCATCGAATCGGTGTCGTGTGAATGTGGTCGACAAAGAAACACCATCACCGTCGCCACCTCTGCCGTCGAATATGGTTACCGCAGACGAAGATTTAGCCAATCAGCTGCAGTTCTTACTTAAGACGAAATGGACTATCGACAAGGATACATACAATTCAGACGCGTTTGATCAGTGTGAGGGTGCTTGGCCCATTGCTCACCCATTGCCGCTTCCATTGTGGTCAAACACTATCAAACAACCTTATATCGTTGACAACGTAAGTGAATTTTATTTTAGTTTAGTTTAGTAGAAAATCATAGGGATCATTCAATTAAATTGCATCCCCAATCAAACACGCTCGATTAGATTTAATCATTCGCTCTTCATCCCTTTTTGCAGATTTGGCAATATGAAGACCTTGTTGCGTTGATTGATGTCATTGTACATCGATTGCTGGAGGAAACCCATTATAATACCGTCAATAATTTTGTGGATTTTTTTAAATCGTACAAGCGCTCCGGGACAACCGATTTGCGTGCATTTTTCCAATCGTATACACCCCCAATCAATCGCCGTGATCACATGTGCGTATCGTTGGCAATGGAGGTGGTATCACGCATCTCAGAGGTTTGTCCCCAACTCAGTGACCATTTGTATTTGGTGTCATGCGAAGAGGCCGTCGAATCAATTCAACAGTACATCTTGAATTGCAAGCAGCTCGGCATCGATAATGCCATGTACAATTTGGAGAAGGAGCATTCATTGGTGGCAATGCGAATCATTGTGGCCGGTCGTGAGGGTATCATGCTATTAGATCCTGGCTATCATGTTGCACGCGCCGTTACGGCCATGAAAGATCAATGCTATCCGCATACAGGCTGGTTCATTCAATCACAAGAGCCGCATTTGAAACGTGAATACTGCTACAAATTCAATCAGTTCAACGATGAATTCGTTGAATGGAGCGAACGCACCACCCGTGGCGATCAACAGAATCATGAAATTTCATTGATTTACGTGAAAACACCGTATCGTACCGCCATTGATGTGACCGTGCGACGGAATTTGGTGTACAATTTCCGATCGTTGTTGTCACGTGATGCTAAAGGTCGTGTTTGTGCTGGTATCTACTTTCCAGTTACGCAGGACGGTGGCGATGCAACACTCACGCTCTTCTATGATGGATCGAACGGGCAAAGCACCAAAATTAAAGCGAAATTTAACACCTTCGCTGATGAACATAAGGTGGGATTTGTTTTTTTTGTTGCAATTTATTCAGTCATTTCTTTTTTTAACATTCAAAATAAAATTTACTAATCATTTCATTTGCACTCTCACAGATTCCTGAAGCCATGATGAACCATTTGGATAACTTATCGGCCCAAATTTCCCTTTGCAAACAGGACTTGTGTGCTCTGCTGAAACAATTGTGTGAAACCATGTCGGATCGTGATTTTGTCAAGCAATTGCTTACAATCAACGATCACATCACCGCTATGTCAGCCGATAATTAAACGGAACAATTCATACACTCACACACACACACACACACACAAAAACACTTTTGCTTCACTTCAGAGAAAAGAAATTCCATTTAGAGATATTCTTCAAGGGAAAGGAAAATAAAATCATATTTCTTTAATGCAACAAGTAATTTTGTAGCTTAAAATCAGCTTAGTATTCACACAAGTTATATGTGCTTATAAAAATATCTGCTATCAGCGTGTCAAATGTAAAATCCTATTCAAAGTCCAAATAAAAATGAAAATAAAAATACTATAAAAAAACGCCACTCGTTTTTTTCCTCTAATCAAGTTGCAATTCAAGAATGGCTAGTTTTATTACTTGTTTCATTCTTTCTTTCTTTTAATTAGATCTTTTGATTGACATTTTCATACATTTTGTTTTATTAATAAAATTTACAGAATTTATAACTAACAATTTTTTGTCCCTGTCTCTGGCTTCGTTTGTAACACTCATTGCAAGCATTCGTCTCACATTCTCTAAGCCTAATTTAAAAAAAAAAGAAGCAAACAATCTAAAATCAGAACAAAATCACAAAATAACACACAATGGCTAACACAAAACGAAGAATAAACGGAATTTATGTTTAACAAAAGTTCGATTGCCATTTTGTTTTCACTTGTTTCATCACTGATGACTCAATTGTACGGTGCTACCGGTGGTGAATTCAATGTTTGCATTATGCAAATCGTCGATAGATTGCATTGTGTGGGCATTGACGGGCCGTGGTATGCATTTGCCTTCGAATGTATGCTTAGTCTTCTGACCGTGTTCGCTGAGCTCTAATTTTTCACGATTTCCCTCAACGGACTGCTTAATTCCATACGTGAAGTAGATGATGTATCCGAGGATCATCCAAACACCGAATCGAATCCATGTGTTAATATCCAGTTGGAACATTAGATATAAATTCATGAAAACACTGAGCAACGGCAGGAATGGCACAAGCGGCACCTTGAAACTCGATTCAAATTTCGCTTTTGGCTGACGGGTTATCACCAGGAATGTAACAAACAGCAAAACGCCCAGCAATATCAAAGCCATTTGACTGGGCATATGTTCCGACCACTCTGTACCGAACAATATACAAAAGATCACTGTCAACAGTGAAAATAGCACAACCGCAATCTTCGTTATTCTCGATGATAAACTGTTTGGCTGCTTTATGAAATGCAAATTTAATATTTGCCCTATGATTTGTTTATGTGTCGATGGCAGTTTATCCACATACGATTCATCATCTTCTTTGTAGTGCAACACCAGAATGCAAATTGAAACAAGTGTATATGCCATTAGTGTTCCTGCAAATTGAACCAAAAAAAAGACTTGGATTAATTAAAAAAAAAATAAATCAATCAATTCCCATTTCAATTGATGAGGGAAAAAATGAATAAATATTCTTGTTAACGCAATGAAAAATATGTGTTGGAAAATAAAATCACTTCATTAACGCATTTTGTCCAATGGCATTTAAATCAAAATTATTATTCGCAAACGTTATTTTTTTTTTGAAAATGAGTCAATTGTTCGGGTGTATTTTAATGCTATGAACAAATGTTCGTTGAGCATTGAACAGCATAAGCATTTAATTTCAATTGAAAACCACAATTACCTATGCTCATCATATCGATCAGTTGATGCAAATCAAACAACAGTGCCATCACAGCCGCAAAAACACCTGATATTACTGTCGCATGCATTGGTGTTTTTGTGCGCAGGTTCACACGCTTAAATACTCTATACAGCAGCCCATCAGAAGACATTGCATACAAAACTCGAGGAAGTGGGAACATCGCACCCAACAAACTTGTGAACAGGGCGAAAACGGCACCAATCGATACAATCCTAGAAGATAAATGGAAAAAGTGGTTTTATTTCAAATTTTCATCAGCAACACGAAAATCGACCGATAGGTTAATTCAATTTCTTAACGATTGACTGGTTATTTGTTTCACATTTAATTATATAAATTTGATTGTGTTATTTTTGATTAATTTATTTGTTCACCCTTTGAATCAATTTAACATTTATATCAATTCAAATTCATTTGTATCAATATAAATGTTAAACACGTGTCTAAATGTTAAAATGAAGGTATGTATGCCTCGGGCAAACGTTTTTTTTTTATCTTTTTAATTCACGGCTTTATGTCATTTGACTTCTCGTAGGGAAGGTTCTGAAAAAGTCGATTCTGACTATTTTTGAAAGTTTGAAAAAATGCTATGTTTACTGTTGCTGCCATGTTTAGTTCAAAGGTTTCCTGATATAATAAGCAGCTATTTTAATTCATGTCGTTAGACCTCTCCCATTTGTACATCTCGATGCAAAATCCATTTTGGTTATGGTTCGTTAATAATTATTGGAAAGATATATTTTTAATATAGACAGATGTGTACTGTGCACTCAATTTTCTAGAGTCACGAAGCGATCTAGCGTTAAAGCTGAGGGAAGCGGGGCAAGGCCGTTAGTTCAGCATAATTTCATTCAAAGAAAATATGTTCATTTTTTTATCATTCTCATATTTGTGTCATTCTTCATTTGCTCCGTTGTTCAGAAAGCAACAATTGATTTTTTTTTCAATAAATTTGAATAACTCGTGTTTTTGCATGACATTTTCTTCAACGAATGCATTCAAGAAATTAATTGAAAAAGAGTAGAATCTAGACAATGTAAGAAAAGTGACATTTTCCTTAAGGTAAAATAAAATAGAATAGAAAAATTCACCATTTAATCGTGTGCCATCCAATTTTATGGTATACATATGATAGGGGTGCATCTGGATCCTTTAAATATTTGACCAATAGTAGACGAGGGTAAGTAAAACTGAATTGATTTGTGTATGAAGAAAAAATGGTTGGATAATTTGACTAGTACCTGTGCATAGTATGGCCACATCATGGTGAGTACGGTTGAGACGCCGAAATACGACAAGAAAATGATGATAAGTGACAAAACGATTGAGAGGGGAATATTTCTCTTGGGATTCTTAGCCTCTTCACCGGTCGTTGCGACGCAATCGAATCCAACGAAACCGTAAAAACATTTAGCTGCTCCAGCCATCACACCGGCCCAGCCATAAGGCATGAAACCACCATTACCACCACGAATACCGTCCGGAATGTCTTCTTTCCGGATTGCCCAATTTGCTGGATTAGCTGCAATCGAAACAGATTTTCGTTGGATTAAAATACATTTTGCCAAACATTTGAATATTTTTGTTTACATTCTGCAAATGTGTATTCGTAATTCGATCTGTTCTTATTGGAATTACCTAGCACGTGTTATTGTTTACAAAAGAAACTAAATATTGATATAATAAATCGAAAAATACGAATTTAAATAATTTCATAATAAAACAGTCGAAATGAATTGAACGTGGGATTTATGGCCAAAAAAAATCACAAATACACGATATCAAATCACGATACGAACAAAGGATATCATAGAATAAAATTATAAAAGACGTTCATTACAACTAAATCATGATTTAAATCTACCTTTTATAGAACCCGATACAATGACAATGATAATCGTAGCCAAATTAACCATCGTGAATATGTTGTTTAAAATGCTGCTCTCTTTGACACCAATCGATAATAACACAGTTAGTAGTAGGACTACGACAAATGAAAAGAAGTCTGGATATCGAGCCAAAAATTCCACATGCATTGGGGCTAAATTCAGGAAGAAATTGGACAGTTTGTTGTCAATCAATGCATCAAGATAGACACTCAATCCACGAGCCACCGATGATGTTCCTATGAAAGAGGAAAAAAAACACCATTTTCGATTGAAAACATTGAATTTTGAAGCAGTGAAAATTCATTTTTTGTCAACAATTATTTGATCGGTTTCATATTTTGACGTTTTGTCAGAAAGTCAAATATGCTGAACAAAAAACTTGTCTTGAAAGGAAAAAAAACTTGTTGACACTGCCAAAAATCTTATCCCGAAGCAAAATATTTTTCAAAAATAAATTCGATTTGAAAAAGTGACATTTAAAAAAAAAAACTTGTTGCTTACCGATAATGTATTCCAGAATCAAATTCCATCCAATGGTGTAGGCAAGAAATTCGCCAACACTAATGTAGGTATAAACGTAAGCCGAGCCGGCTTTTGGTACACGACTGGCAAATTCTGCATAGCAAATGGCAGAAATGCCCGATGCGAGGGCCGCAATTAAGAACGAAATAACCACCGCTGGGCCAGCTTCACGGAATGCTACCGAGCCCGCCAGAACGTACGCACCTAAGCCCAAAGTGCTTCCAACACCGAGCGCAGTCAAATCAAACAAATTCAATACTCTGGCCAATTGTGTATTCCCATCGTCATTTGTATCAATTTGTTTACGTCGTTTTAACGACTGCCAATACCCGTTCATGTTGCCCTGCTGTTATCCGTTTGCTCCGAAAAATCTTAGTCGTGTAGCACACACCCAAACACAAAACTGTCTTTTCGTGGCGTCGTTTAACTAAAATCGGTTAGTAAAATAAATATCAAAAACCGAACTATTTATTATATTGAAAACGTCATTAGCATTAAAACTGAATTTTAAAAAACAAACACGACGACAAGTGTTATACGAGTTGTTTGACATTTAGATTTTTTTTTCAGCTATAAAAACGAGCATTGTAATGGGAAGCCTGGTTTTACCGTTTCGTATGAATTGTGCGCGCTCTATGTGAATGTCATGACTCAAACGACACAACCCAATCGAATGAAATAAGAAAGAGAAAAAAGCATGTGCTTCACATTGTTGCACGCACAATAAACTTGACAATGAGCTCGGTATGTGCAATTCGCTCGAGTTGAGGTGAGATGAGTTGTTCTGTTTGCATTGTTATTGCAAATGAACCAATAAATTATACGGATTTTGACGATCCATACAGTCACATTTGAAATGGTGACGGCTGCTAAAAGTGTTGCTCATTTTTTTTCTGCTCCTGGTATGCATACATAAGCACTTGTGTCAGTGAGAAAGAGAGCGAGAGAGAAACTGAGTGAGACATCTTATACCCTTTTGACTGTCGAATAAGTGTCGACACTGACTGTGAATCTTTAAATCATTTTTGTTCAAATATAATCAGCTGTGTGACGTTTTAAACAAAACACCAGCAATTAGGATGAATATACAAAGTAAACATATAGCGCGGCGTTGCCTTTTTCGAACAGACAGTTCTTTTTTTTTGAAACAGGTTTTCAAGGAATTTCAACTTTATTATGATGTCGATTAATCTACATTCATTTATTAGCGATTCGACGGTAGCCAGACAAAAAAAACGCGAATGTACATACAATCACAATTTATATGAATTTAATTACATTGGCGGCTAGTTAATTTATTATGAGGAAATGGAATTTTAAATGCACTCTATTTTCAAATGAGATATGACTCACAAAAAATAGATCGAACTTAGATAATAAAATGTATCGCATTTTTTTTATTGGCAACCACAACAACAGTACAAATATTCAATCATTCTTTTCCATATTTCAAATATTGAGACCAGCTCTATTTTGGTTTTGATTATGGGCCAGGTAAACGTATAAAAATGGCATTTAAGGTGTTGGTTGACCACTTTCGATTGGATCATGAAATATTTGCGCAATGAAAGGACATGACGAATGATAAGAGTGTGTTTTGACCATCTGTAGGGTCCAATAATACCGGCAGTAAATGCCAAAAAAATCGGCTTTGTCAATGAAAACACTAGAAAAAAAAACATATGCGCCCATAAAAAAATGCGTGCGTCAAATGAGTGACTTTTGTGATTCAAATGCGCGATCTGCAATCCAAATTGTTTTGACAACAAAAGACATCTGAGAATGAAATGAAAACGTGTGCCCGAGGAAATTGTTTGACAAAAATGACAACCTGTTCGTTTCTATTCGGAGGCTAATTTATGTGGAGCACGTGAGAATCACATAGACGCTAATTTCCAATTATTCTACTGAAATGCAAACAGTTAATCACTTGGCAATTTCATATAGTAGTAACAAGAACAAAAAAAAAATGAGACGAGATACAAAAAAATGGCATTTTAAGGTAATTTAATGCAAAATTTGAATTGGCACGATGTGACAACGTTCCAAAGTGAGAAAGAAAAATGATCATTCGAAAAATAATAAACTGCAAAAAAAAAATGTCCCAATTTCTGTGTATGTCGAAGTTTTGTTGTTATCACGAAACGAGCAAATAGCCTGATCGTAGGAGAGTTGACGTGACCGCGTTGTGCACTAGTGATTTGAACAAGTAGCCGCACTATTTGTGTATGTTTGAGTGATTTTTGGTAGGATTCCACCGTAAAACTCGGGGAATGTTACAATTACATTTATCGCGCCGACCTTGATAAAATGCAAACGAAAATAAAAGAATGGAATTGTAACGAGCTCGCTTTACATTGAACATCAACAAAATATGACAATGATTGTGATCGGCAGTCATCATCGATGCCACCGCCGCCACACCGATTATTCAATCTAAATTATTCGACGTGTTGTTTTTTTTCTCTCATTCAAAATGATTTGGCTTTTATTTCTTAATATTGCGCGCGTTTTTTTTTCTTTCTCTCTCGTTCGTTTTATTTGTTATGGGCCTCACTAACCATAATAAAATTGTTTACGATTCACGGTCAACAACAATGAATCTTGGTTTGCTTTTTAATTGTGCGGCTCGTCTACAAACACATACATGCTGGCATACGGTTTCAATTCGAACGTGCCACTAAAGAAAAATTAACATTCATTTTGGGGACAACGGGCTGATAAAATTGCTAACAACACTAACGTCCAAAATATTAAATAATGTAAGAGGAACAAAAGCAGACGAAAAACAAAATGTTTCACGATTTTAAATTCAATTTCGAACGATCGTTGGAACGGTATACTGCGTGCCCAATTCAATATCCACACCTTCACATCTCACAGCCGATAGATTTTCTTGTCTTGTGCGCTTCGCTCTCCAACAATCGTTGGCTTTGGAACACATTCGGTGTCCGTTTTTTGATTTCACTCTCTTCGATTTGCAATGTTTTGTTTCATTTCCGACTGCCGATGCGATGCAAATTCTATCGGTGTAAGTGAATTTGTGTCGGTTGATTTGTTTGTGCCAAATCACGATGCCGAGACAGATTTGGCACACTTTTAGTGCCATAACCAAATATGCGTTTTTACACTTCCAGGTAACAACTGATTGTAATCACCACATGATTTTTACCTGTTGTTGTTGTTGTTGTTGTTGTTGTGGTTTTGATTTTAAATGTGTCCCAAACTGAAGTCAAATACAATTTTTTTTATTACCTAACACTATTGGCTAATTCACATAGCACAATCAACGCTGTCAGACACATAGCATCATTCAATAGCCCGACTAAAACTCGTCACTCAATTCTATAGACTGCGGTTCGGTCACCCGCGACCAACAACAAACTAAATGAATACAATAATAGTTTTTCCAATGAATAAATTTCCAATTAACAATCACTTGATCAACGATTTTGCATGCCTCCGAAGATTCGAATTTGTTAAATTCAACACTCTTATCATTTTGCAAATTCAAAAATTGAAAATGAAATCGAATTTGAAACATTCTTTAGGTCCCAAAAAAAAAAAATGAACACAAATTGGTTTTGTTGTGTTTGTAATCTTCTGTATTGTTTGAATATTTTTTCTTTGGAATATTGCACGTCACTTCGTTCGGTCGGTCAGAACTCATTAAATCACAAATACACTTGTACAATCATTTGTTTATATTTTCGACGTTCATTGTAACTGATCATTAATATGAACTAAAATGCATTCAGCCTACTAATTAATTTCGGGAAATCAGCACTTGACTCTTTTGTTTTCTCGCTGTAATTTTTAATATTTCTCATGCTCTTTCGACGCGATTTTCATGTTCAAAATTGCAATCGATTTTTTTTCGTTTTTCTCTTTTTCGGTTTCTAGTGTTGTTTTTTCTTTCTTTTTTGAACATATTGGAATGTTGTTTTTTGCTGTATTTTGTAGGAATTTCGTTTGTTTTTTTTGCACCAAATTTCTACTCTGTTGAAATTTTCTCCAAATATTTCTTTTTGCATATTTTCTCCATTTTTCCCACATTTTTTTAAATTTGTTTTTCTTTTTTTGTCATAACATGTACCAATTATCAATGAAAACTTTCAATTTCAATTCATTAAAACTCTTATTCATATTTTGCATAAGAGTTAAAAAAAAACCGACCATATTTTATCTGTCTTGTCAGTTTTCCGATCGCGATCTAATTGTTATAGGTCAGGATAGTTTTCTTTCTCTATTGATAACCATTTGCTAATTGCTGTTCGTTGACTTACTAGTTGATTTAAAGCTGATTGAAATGGATGGATGTGAACTATAGTTCACTGCATTTCAAGTTGAAGTTCAAGTTGAAAGTAAATATTTGATTTCGGCGACAGATACAAAAACAATGTATTTGATGACAAAAAAAAAATTCTATGAAGTAATCCAAATAGTAAACGGATGTGTGACCATTTAAAATGAACTGAAAACTTATTAATTGAATACTTGGTTGCCGGTGGTTGATTTTGCGATGGGCGCGCGCGCGTGAAGTGAAACAAAATAGTGTGAATACGTTGTTCACATCAGATAAATAACTAACGATTGCTGCAAAAAGGTTTGTCGATGGATATTTTATATTTCTTTATCATATTCCGAAGCTTTTGGAATATCGCACGCGTCAGCTGCTGCTTGTGATGGTTTGTGTTTTGTTGTATGTGGTCATACAATAGATTTGATATGAACGTTTTTTTTCTTCGTTTATTCATTCGTTCGTATAGTATTCGGTTTGCATAAAAAGCACACGACGAGTCATGTGCGTGTGTGTGTGTGTGATAGATCGTACAGTACATTGAACGATAGCTTCTCAACTTTAGTTTAGTTTTGTTTTTTTTTCCTCTACGATTGTTTACATGTCTACTCTGTCTCACTTCTGAATTGGCCCTTCGATTTTGCAATCGTGCGTCCACTTTTGTTTACGCATACCGAATTATGCACAATTCTGATAAACGAACGAGAGTGAGAGAGAAACCTTTCATTCTATTCCGATGAAACAACAACAACAGCTACAGCAACGAAAAGCGTTAATGGTCGTTTCGAGTGTAACCGACGATTTTGAGTAGGGGCCGGGGAGCAAAAACATAGACAGTCAAACAAGTCACACCGCTGACATGGTGTGGGTGTTGTACACAGCGAATGTGGATTTTTTTTTCTCTGCACTTATCAAAACTCACTGTGTTTTCTTTTTCCTTCGGTACATCATCTTATCGTTTTTTTTTCACATTCGTGACCACTCTTCTCGACCACATCTTGCATAAATTACAATAGATTGCGTTTATTTTTTGCATGATAGATTTATAGATAAGACAAAAATTTGCATTTTTCAAAGTTTCACCACATCCAATTTTTTCAAACCGACAAATCTTGTTCGCTTCATCTGGTTATTTCTATACGAGTTTTTCGAATCGATTTTTTTTTGTAACGCTAAACATGTTTTTTTCCAAATGATCGACCGAATGCGTTCCGAAATGAACGCCGAATCAAGCCCCTCGAGAGATCTATTTATTTTTATGAATATAATGAGTAAAACAACAAATTACGCCAAATGACAGAGCGGAAAAAGACACACTGAAGCATTCAAGACACGACCACCGTGCATTGAATCACAAATCAACCGTACATTTTATTCAAACGGCACAACGCTCATTATTATTAACGCTAATTCACTTAATTCACACTGCGAGTACACATGCTATTTTTTGCCACAAAAAATTAATCACAACTTGTTTTTGGCATTCAATAACTCGATTTCAATGTTATTCAACGACGCAGTCTTTGTGTCGCCAGATGTGCTTTTGCCAGCCAGATGGACAACAGTGACGGCGGTGGTGTATCCATTCGGGAATCCCAAAAAACGGCCAATTACTTTCAATCGTCTTATTTTCTTTTTAATGCAACGTCGAATTTGTATCGTCAAATCCGCTTCGAACAACTTTGAATCGACGGCGAAAACAAACAAATCAATAAAAGAGCAGAAGAATAAGAATAATTTCACAACTTTTGGCACTTTCAAACATTTACTTTCTTAATTTACATACAACTTGTGTTGTCATCAATTCAAACGATTGAAAAGGGAAGAAAAGATGACATTTATCGTGAAAGATTTAGAAGAATACAGAAGAAAACAAGAGTAAACCAAAAATTTTAATGACCCATCGTATCATGCCAAACATTATTTTATTTTATCAAACGAATCAGCTTTTCAATCTAAAAATATATATTTTTCATTCAAGTCTTTTGAATATATGCAAATTATCCGCTTCTTTTTGCAGACAGTATCTTCCAGACACCGAGGAGGAAGATTGCAAAATGTAAAAGGTTTTTTCGAAGTAAAAAAGCGACCACAAAAAATGTATACAAGAGATTTTGAAAATGGAACGTAGATTTAATGACTTCTTGTGTAATGATTGGAATATTTTGTCCGTAAAATATCTGTGCCGATCTTCTGTCGTAAAGTTATGATTTTAATACAATTATTTCGACCTTCCGTTTTATTTAGAAAAGTGTCGAGTCTTGATGGTGGACAGATTTTTTTTTTCGTCAAGAGAGAAACTCTTATTAAAAATTTTTTGGGGTGTTTGAAATCATTTCAAGCTATTTTGGAAAATTCAATGTTCATTCCAAAGCTTTCGATGATCAATTCCTTTTTCAAACCGAAATTGAATTATTGTATCTTGTCATTTGTCCTTTATAATCAAAATAAATGGCATTCTTTTCAAAATTCCAACATAAACTTATAAGTATTAGTCTACCCGATGGATCCGGGTGATTTATTGGGTCTTCTGAGAGCAGACATTTGATGTAAATTATTAATACTGTCTAACTGACTCAAGTTGATTATTGGCCAAGTAATGAATGTGAGTTATTACATCCGGCACACAGGAGTTAGGTTGAGACTTGTCAGGAAAATATAACGACTCTTTCGTGTTATAGCTCAATTCATCCTTCATACCATTAGGATATTCAAAACTTGTGAACGTCAACTAAGGCCTGACATAGCTTAGTTGATCACAGTTTCAATCATCGACCAAGAAGCGATATTATTTTAGATTCCGTAAGATGCTCGATAAGGGATTGCCAAAGTTGTACAAAGCTGGTAGCTTGCGATGTGAAATTTTAATTCATTTTGAGCTATGTTTTATATTCTCATAAGTTGAAGTAAAGACAATGATTTATTCAATTTCAATTGTTGTTTTCCTGTAATAAAGCTACGATCGTTCTTTGAAGGATAAACCAAAAATCGTCCTAAAACATACAAAAACCGTACTAAATTTTCCGAAAATCCTACTAAAGTTACACTACATAAAAAGGAAGAAACCAGGTAAAAATAGAGGCTGCAGTCTTATATCATGCTGACATTGTTACTTACCAAATTCAACGTCCGTTTTCGACCTGGTTTTGTATTGGAAAATGTATGAAAATTCAAGATATTTGTTGGATTTTTAACAAAATGTATCCATTCGATAATAGTTTTGAGAAATTCTGTGTCAATAATACGATTCTTCTGCCAATTATTGCACATTTTACCTTTCTTCCGCATTTCAGAGTATACAATGTCCACAGCAAGTTCAATTTTAAACCACGTTATTGCGACCAAAAATAAAAACTCATTATGATGTGGTTCTAGGGCATGTAATCCATCTCAAGCACTCCTAACGCACTATTACCGAACCGATATGCATCACATATTCAATGAAGATCACCCATAACATGAATTAATGTTCACGCAGCTGAACTGCTGTTTCAATTTATTTCTCTTCGATACTTACCTACGTATTTTATATTGTGTCACAAATATTATTCGAATCAAAAGAAAATTTAAACCTGTTTTCCAATATAGTTTCACCATTCTAAGTGAATTTTACTATAATGATAATTCATCACATCACGTTTTGATCCGACGATTGGGCCGGAAGAGAAACAATAAAAAAAGTAAAATTGTTTGAAATAGAAAAAAAAATGACTGAAGAAATATAAATGAGATATTTTTTTCAATCAAAATTGAACTATTCAGTTCTGTGAATTGTCCTAATATAAATCAGAATAAACGGTATTTTTATCGAAATTTTCACACAAAAACCCAATAAACCTTGTCCATATAATTCAAACGATGCAGTGATTTTGTGTAAACGACTTTTGTTTAGGGGATTTTTGTCCAGTCTCATAAAGAACACGTCGTCCAAGGTAGCCTTTGGAATTTGAAAACAATGAATGCATTTAATATTCTCGAATGAAATAAAGAATTTAGTTTGTTTTTCTATACATCAAGTTTATTGTTAAATCATATGCTATTTGCATTGCCATCGTTTCTATAATTGTCTAGAGCCGTAAACGTTTTTATTTGCAAATATATCGGATTGAATTGAATAAATCATTTGATATCATTTCTATTATCGGTTACCTGAAATATATTGCTAAATAGACTTAGGGCCATTCTCATTGTTTTTGTTTTTCTTTCAGAATTATAGCACTAACTGTTTTTTTTATCATTTACTAGAACCATTTCGACTACTTGAGCTTGTTCACACGCTGTGGAAACAATAAAAATAAATGAAATAAACAGTAACATAAATTCTATGATAATGTCTACAGCTGTACTATACATTTTTCATAGCTTTAGCTGAGATGGTTTGTCGTTGTATTACAGATTGATTGCATCAACAATCAAGTTTAGGGTTTTACTTTCGGTTTTATTTCCGGGGCTTTTTTTGGCTGCAGCATTTGCAATGGATCACGATGATAACGTGCATAAATCTCTTTTTTAAACACCTCGAATTGCTTGCGATTCAAATTGTTCTGTCGTTCACGCCATGCTGGGCGACTCTTTTTGTTTTGCAGACCCCAATGGCACGTAAATATCGGTGTCAGCACATGGAACTGATAGCCAGCAACAAACATTTCATATACCTGCATAGATTAGGTGGAAAATGCAATATTTGGGTGAAATAGTGTAAAGAACGCTGATCACACCAATATGGCATTTTTGGCTTTTATTGCCAGATTTGAATGAGAATGAAAATGTCAGTTGTTTCAATGTGCTAGAAGTTTTCAAATCTCAATATAATATATTACACAATGTCGATGAAATTTCATTTAATTTATCATAAATATTCAGTTTGTTGGATTATTTGGCTTTGTTGAATTTTTGACTTCAAAAAATCGAACTTAGTTCGCGTAAATAATTAGAATTCATGTTATTTGTTCACTTCAATAACGACCGTTTGAATTTGAAATCTTCTATAAAGTCGTTTACATCATACAACAAATGTGCGACTGCTTCAATGGCTACTGTGTAGCGGTACTTTTCATACACACAGTTTACGGCAATGCAAACGAATACAAATCTCTGATCAGTCGTGTGTATTCTTCCACTGTCACAGAGATTTCGTCTGGGCGTGCGTAAGGAGACTAGCAACACACAACAGTAATAAGTGAATCTCTGTTCATCTCGTTCGGACATATACAAACTATACACATATTCTTGCTGGAATACAAATTCAAACAGCCGTTATTACAGCAAACAAAAATATTGAAATTTAGATTTTTTTAGTAGATAAAACTGAACCAAATTATTTTCATTGATAAGATTTTGCAAAACAACGCTATAAACAAATATTTTTCAAAGTAAATACATCTTTATATTTCTGTTGAATGCGAAATATACTATTGAGACTTCGGATACTTCATTCGAAGTCTCACGAAACTTCAATCACATTGACACTAACTGCTATAAGACTATTCGTCAACCGGGATTCTTTTAAAGAAAAATTATGAAAATTTCAAACGTAAAATGCGCAATTTTGATGGGTAATAATAGGGAATCGAAGAAAACAAAGTAAATGTGCAATATTTTCAAAGGAGGAACAAAACACTTGAAGAAAAAGACGAAACAAAAGCGATCGAAGTGTAATAAAAAAGTGTTTCGATGGTCCTTCAAGGGTTTAACCATATATTCACTGGGATCTTACCTGAGTGTTCCGTGTAAAGCCATAGCCTAAGAAGCGTTCATCGTGCGGTGGTACCGAATCCGTTGATACGTAAAATGGTTCATACAAAAATTCAAAATTAGTCACATTGTGGCTTATAGTTGTGTCATCCTGTGGAGAGCCAACGTTCGACTCCCATCTAAGGAAAGAGAATATGTTTTTTTTCGTGTTATGCAAAAAAACTATAAAACGTTTTTCTTCTTCGCTCAACTGCAAAAATGTTAAATCTCATGAAGAAAAACTCGAATTTTCCAAAATCTTCATCTGTTTGAACAACAAAATTGTTTTTTTTTTATTTAACTCACTCTCTTCCCCAGTCAATCTTCATTGAATTCGAACCCCATTGTAGAAGAAAATGTGTCCATCTAAGGCTTACCTCGAAAAATTGGTGGCATATTGATTGTAGATAAAAACTTTATGATGAAACGGTCTAGCTAGGCCACGTTTCGACAGTCGCAGCAAATCGGCTTTGGTTTGTGGGAATTTGGCACGATTGTCGATTTCATATGTGGGCACCACATAAGCGCATTTCGATTGACTGGAGCATTGTGATTTTCGTAAAAATTTGTCTAGATTATCGGTGAAATTGATGCTCGGTATAATATCGATATCGGTTAAAAAAATATAATCATTTTGGCAACCTTTGCGTGCCAAATTTCGTAAATGATTTTGTGGATAGGCATTTTTTAGGCGCCATTTTATCGTTTCGGTGGTGCGGAATTTCATAAGTTTTTTTAGTGTTAGCTCGGGTTGATCGCAAACAAAATTCGAATAATCACTTTTCAGGAATTTACGCACCGTTTTCGGTGCCCGTTTAATGGGATAGGCCAAATGGATGGTGACCGCATCCCGTATCGATGCAAAGCAATTTTGTAAATAGGACAAATACAATTGGAGTAAATACAATTCATCGTCTCCAGCAACGTACACAGCCAACGAAATGGGTCCGGTCCAGTGAGATGCAACGCTCACCAATGAATATAAACGCTCTAATGAACTTTGTGTTGCCAAGCATACTTTGTACTTTTTCGTTAAATCATCGTATCGATTGCCAACGGCAGCAAAATCAAAATACTTGTACTGACGACTCGCATCCCATCGGCCACGCAGCAAATTCAATCGATCAAACACCAATCGATGCGAATGATTCCCCAATTCGGCAAACTCATCGATTGTATTGTCATCACCGCCACCGCCACAATCGCTGCTACTGATTACAATATCCGGATGCAGTGGCGCAGGAAATCTGGTTATTGCAACCGGTGCAATTTTTGTGTCGACAACATTTGGACAGTCCGGTTTGTGCAACAATCGTATGGTCAACAAAATATTTGAGATGGTTAGCGCAAGCACACTTATTATGCTGAAATTCCATACTTGGCAAATCTGTAAGGAAAAAAACAAAACAAAACCCCACAACACACCTACTAGTTAAGGCAAACTTATTGATTTTTCCTGTGTGACATCGTTTTCATTCATTATGAACAGCAAAACCAAAATCGCATCGAACGAAACATGTAATGAATTATTAGATGACTTCTACTTACATACCATGATTTCGATACGCTTTTCCAAATGTGCATGTTAAAACGAAAACGTCGTCGAAGTACCATTGAATCAACACTGCCAATGTTTTTTTGTCGTCAATCTAATCCGAATATGCTTTTATCCTATTTACTTATGCATTTACAATAATTTTGGAATTCTTTTTTTTTGGCCGTATTTCGATAAAATTCATTTGATTCTGCGATTTTTATTCCAATCACCTCAGCCACAACATGGGCAGCATTCGCGAAACGGTAATTTCACTCATTTCAACCAACACTAATTGCCTAACAAAAAATCACGAATGAAATTCAACACATAATCACAGGGATAATACCAAATGTCAAACATCCTTTGAGCATTATAGCTTTTCAGTGCTCACGTACTTTAAACGTCAAACAGCGTACTTAACCATTTGCAAAGGAAGTCGACGTTAAATACACAAGGAATTCAATATAACGTGAATATAACTGATTGCAGTGTGGAAAAATTAGAATGAGTTTTTTCTCGTTCTGAACGTGCAAAAATTCCCGCTAACACAGAGGTGTTCTATTTTCAGGTGTTCAATGTTCGGTTTGTGCAAATGTGAGCAATATAGCTTGAGTTCATCGTGACATTTTTTTGACTATGCTGATTGGAAAAGCCAAAAATAAATTAAAACACACGTTTCTTTGTGATAGCGTAACTAAAATTAGAATTTATTTATTCATCGGTTGAAATTATGAGAATGTACCACTTATCAAGTCAGATGCCAGAACATATACTTTTTTATGTCTCTATGATTATCGTTTTTGTCTTCAATTTATTTTTAGTCTGATTGTGTTTCGTTCAAGAGGTCATCGTTCATCTTTCAGAATGGTCGGTTTGGTTTACACGGATGACATCAGTTGTTTGGTGCCATTTCGTAGTCATTGTTTTCGTATTGCGGAGCATTGTATGCAACTCGCGGTGTGGCCAAAGACTATTGAATTGGGAAAGAAAAGTTAATGAGAAAAATCAGTCGATTAAATCATAAGAATATTGGTTTTGGTTATGAAAGTTCTACATCTTTGAAGAAAATATTCAAAAATCATCACTGAAGTTTTTTTTTTAACATGAGCGGTTTATCTATAATAAATTTTTCAGTTGATGTCCAAATTTGAATGACCCACCTGATATTCGTCACTTAATTGTGGCGTGCGATCTGGTTCCGGCTGTGGAGCAACTGATTGTGGTGGAGCTAAGTCATCCAATGATAGTTGCGTGTTGAAATCATCCATTGCGTTCGGTGCATTTGCATTTTGAGATGATGTTGCTTGAGCTTTTGGATCGGCCTCATTTTCGCGATCAATTGATTTCGAGAGCAGTTGTTGTTGCTGATCAGCCGGAATCAATAGGCCATCCGAACTGTCTTCTTCATCTTCCCCCTCACGACGCACTAGGCCGAGCATATCAAGCATATTGCATTTAACCGTATTGGCTTGTGCCGTCTCAGCACTATCATATGCACTCTTACGGTCACAAGTGGCCATATGGCGTGCTAGATCATTGCCTGCAAAAGAGAATTTTCGTAGATTAATCAACAATTTCAAAAATCCAAATGTCAATAAAATGTATAAATAAAACGAATTATTTCCTTTACCCTCCGACGACGAATAACCGCAAATGCAGAACATTTCGCTGCCCAATGGGCACGGAACCATGGCATCAACATTGCTTTCGCCGTTACAATTCGATATGTGTTCCAAGATGGCACGAGAGCATGCTGATTGATACTTGCATTTAGAGCATTTGGCAACGTTGCGAATGTGATTGCTTTCTTGGAAATCGTCGCCACATTCCAGACAAATTTGACCATTTGGCATGTACATGGTTACATGGTTCAAATTTAAAACGGATATTATTGCTTCGCGTGGCGTGAAGTTCTTGTACTGTGAGGAGAAAAATTACATTTTATTGTAGTATTAAAGGAAATATTTTTTAAAAGAATCTTTTGATTCTTTGATCACAAAAGGAATGTGAGTATCACCAACCTTAGGCCTGTTGATCGATGTACTGTCTTTGACCAGCTCGCGCAGCTGTCGTTGAACATTCGTGTGTGAATTGTGCTCATAGAGTCGATGTGCCTTCATGGCGCCCTTGCTAAGGAAACGCAACGAGCATTTCGTGCATGTGATTGACTTATGATTGCTAAAACTGGCAACGTGCTCTTTCAAATGGTCATAGAATCTCTGCGTGTTCGAAACCAACTGTTCATTGTGAGCAACAGCAACGATGACTTTCAAGCAGAATGGACATTGAAGTGCACCAGATGCAGTATGATCCGAGTAGAAATGATCGATGGTGTATCGCTGCGATGAGCTCATATGATCACAACAACCACATTTAAATGGCATTTCGGCAGTTACATGCAATTTGTCCATGTGCTGGCTCAACAACGGTACCGTTTGGAAAGCGGCCTGGAAAAATCAATTCAATCACACATTAGATGAAGTTTGGAGTTTGATTTCATTGCATAAATTGAAGTAATTTCGATGAAAATACCCGATACGAAGTTAACTCACCCGGCAAATGATGCACTTGAATCCACCGCGACCGTCTTTGGTTTGCAATGGATGAGTTGATGACAAATGCTCGTTTAGAACAGCCGCGCTGGCAAATGTTTTCATGCAATAGCGACACACTTCGGTATGGTCGTCGGGTGCATTTTCAGTAGCAATATGATGCTTGATATGATCCATGAATTTAATATTATTTGTGAATGACTCATGGCATTCCGGACACTGTAAAATGACAAAGTAAAAAACGCATTTAAAATGAATTTGCTGCAAAATTAATTGCTATGAGTTTTTGGCACACAGCCAAATGGAATTTGTTTTCAAGTTTTAATTAATTTTGAGCAAGTCATAAATTGTCTCGCTTACATTTGCCTCGAATTTAACGGCGATGCCCGAATCATTATCAGTGCCAGTTTCATAAATGCCATAATAATATGATTCGAGGAAAATTTTCGGCTCTTTTTTCGGCGGTGGCGGTGGCTCTTCGCGTCTTGCTGGCACTTTTGCTTTGTACTGTTTTGGCTCCTCTTTAACGACAATCTTTTGCTTCTTAGTAATGACTGGCGGAGGAGCTGAAATTAAACAAAGGCAAATGGTTACTTTTGATTCAAGTTTCGGAAAACATTTTGAACCCATATTTGTTTTCACCATTTTATGAATTGAATGAGAGAGCAAACAAAAAAATGAAAATTCAAAAAGAAACTTACATGGCTCCTTGCGTTTGTTTCGATTTGGCGGACGGCCGACTGGGTTTGGAATCGAGTTCGATGTGCCAGCCGTGAAGAAATCAGCTCGCAATGCTTTGGCCGGTGCTCGAACTGAAAGATGAGCCCAATCACGGAATGGATTCGCAGCCACTTTCGACAGTCGACTAACCAAATTCTCGGCTCCTTCGAATCTGGTCTGTTCAGCAATATGCGATACAATGTGATCGAATGTTTTGCCAGGCGTTGTTCCGTACCATTCACGCCATACCAATTCGTCCAAGAATTGTTGAATGATTTGACGTGATAGTAACGACAATGTGTTCTGAAACATGCGTGGAACGACCGTTCTCAAGTAATCCATAATGTTCGAATTGGTGTATTTGCCATCGGGTGTGGTTGTTTGGTTGATGAATTTGTATCCCATTGCCAAAAGTGTTCCTTTGTCCACCGTTAGATCCGTGGCAATCGTGCTGGTTTTATTGACCCATGTTGAAAGTGGTTCAAGAATCTTTGCAAAGCGTTTTTTATAATTCTTTTCACCATCGGCCAGCGGTTCGACAGCACGCAAGCGAACAATTTTCGAAACTGGATCAAGCACACCGAGCACTTCGACTTTCACTTGTTTCTGTTGGCCCCCTTGACTGGTTGTACCCAGTGAAATGACACCAACCTCGATTTTCTTACCGGAACCACCGAGCAACGTCATGTGCTGATGTAATGCCACCGTACAAACGGCACGCAACCATGTGAACAATCCTTTCACATACAAATTATCCACTTTTACCCATTGCACCACATTTTGCACGTTCGTTTGACACGACCAATGATAGATTAGCTTGAGAATAACCTGTAATTTACATAAACAGGTGCATGTTTGTTAATAACGGAAAATGGCTTAATTGAAATTAATTCAACGAAAAATTGATTTTGAACGCGATTTTGATTTTTCTGTGAGTTCCGAATTGGAATAACTTCATTTTGTTTGGGAATAGTTTCATTTTGACACGAAAAATTAATTTTAATTAAACTAATTGCATTTTGAAACGAAACTCTTTACCGAAGGTGGATGTTGAGCTCCTTCGAATAGTGATCCACTGAAAACAGATACGAATCGCGATGGACAACAGTCACTAATCCAAACATATCCACCAGAGTAAGGAAATTTCGATGCGTCCGAATACATTCCTGTTGAAAAATAAAGATTTTCATGAAAATATGTTAAATGTTTAATGTTTCCATTCAAATTTTTTTCTATATTGGCTTTGTTTAGAGAAATATGATGGGAACGGATGAAAAATGATGCGAACGTCAAATACGTCAAAATGAAAGTAAAAAGCATACCCAATTGAAGTGAAACTTTCGGATGAATCTGACACGTTTGCTCGGAACGAACAAGACCTTGTTGAATGAGCCATTCGGTGAATTTCGTGGCGCTATGCATGAGCACGCTTTTGACTTTAGCATCGAGTGCAGGTCGATCATTGATGTTAGTCTCTTTAATCTTAAGTGTGGGTCGTGCCACGACCACCAACGATGGGAATGTTTTTCCTTGCAATTTATTGAATGTAACTTCACGTGAATCAGCGGCCAATTTTGATGCCGGCTCGTCTTTTGTGAGATCGACGATATCCTTCTTTTTGGTTTCACCAATCGTCAAACCGCCAACGGCTGTGCCCTCCGATGGCCGGTGTGTCACTTTCTCTGCGATTGGTGTCGTTGTTTTGCCTCTTGTCACAACTTTCGGCGCTTCTTTCGGCTTGCCAACTACGATATTCTTTTTAGCCGCCATTCGTTTGCTCAATGGTAAATATTCTTCATCGTCGTCATCGTCATCGATGACTTCGATCAATTTTGCATTGTCTCGCTTACGAGTGGCTTCACGTTCGCGTTCGGCACGAATGCGTTTCTCTTCAGCCAATTGACGTGCTTTGTTTTCCTTTCGCACAACAGCGACCGGCTTTGAAATGTTTTCCAAACCGGTGACAGCACCAGACACTTGATATGCACCAAAAATCTCACCCAAATACACATTTTCAGCACCCGATGCAGCGACTACTTCGTTCAATTTGGCTTTGATATCATTATGTTCCTTTTCGGCTTGTTCGTATGCCGCCAATTGAGCCGGACTCAAGTCCTCATTCCAACATTGTAACTTTAGCGTCATGTCAGCCGGTGCTATGTCACCGTATGACAAATTTATCAATTTACTTCGAGGCATTTTCGATTCTAATCGAAGTCTTGCCGAGAAATTTGTTTGTTTTGACTACCAATTCGGGACTTTCACGCGGCGTCAGTTCTGCTACAAAACCCAACTTCTATAGTTTACAGTAATTTTAACAAGAAACACATTTAAAGGTTAAAATTAGCCGGTTTTTCGATTGGCGACGTCTAATTTTTTCAATATGCTTTGCAAATGCGTCTTCAATTGGGGTGTAAACAACCGTTCGCTCAAATTCGATTATGTTGTTGAATTAATGAAAAAATTTCACAAGCTAAAGCAGCCTGTGTTGTATGTTCTGAGGATGACAGTAATGGCGAGCCTCAAGTGATTGTTTTATGTGACTGCAAATACCGACACAATACGCTAGAGGTCGCTTCTTCACTCACTTTGACACTACGCAATATTTCAATGTGTGTATAGTTTGCGATGTATTTGTGTTTACAATATACAAGTTTAAATAACTCTATGGACAGTTGATTATAACAGTTTGCGAAATGAAATGAATAAAAAAGAAATTTACTTGTAATCATGATTTTTTTTATTGCTGTCATTTGAATAAACGAAACTAAATCGATATAAAAAAAAACGAAAAAAAATTCAGCTCTAGTAAATACATTCCATTTGCAAATGAGGTGTGAATAGATGGGTTGCGGTAACATTTATAACACAATCAATGGATATGGCTCTCGAATATTAAAGATTAGCTTTGGAAAATATCAGTAAATCAATCTAGTGATCAGCAAGTTCCTTTTCCGCGTCCACTATTCCTGAAAGGATATCTAAATGTTCTTGTGTTTTATCAAGAGTGTAATCTAGAAAGCGACCATGAACGCACATATGAATATAGCGAGTATAATGATCAAACTTCTCAGCAAATGGAGTTCTATTAGCAGCATAGATTCTTCCGTTGGAGAAAAGATGCTCTGACCGCTGAAATGATTTCAATGAAATATAGCAAACAAGAAAAGAAAATTAAAAGAGAGTTAAAAGAAAAAATTCGGAGTTATTCAATTCTCACCCATTTACGATACACTTCAGTTTGAAATGGTATACCAAATTTGTGTTGATACATTTTGCGTCTTTGACCTTCTCTCACTGATGGTGGAGCAATGTTTGAAGCATATCTTTCTCGCCAACGTTGATTGATTATTCGTTTCATGCCTGCTTTTGATTGCAGCAAATTGATTCCTTAAATCGGCTACTTTGGGCCATTGATTGATGAACTGAGTACGATTCTCCGATCATGACAGAAAATCCTCTCCCCACTAAAACAAAGAATATTTAAACTGACTCTGCTAAATAGTCTGCTGTACTTACAAGACTCCGATCGCAAAGCCAATACAACAACTTCAATGAATTTGTAATTTCGATTTTTTTTGCATTTAATATCAATCTATTATAGACACGGTGAAACATATAAATCGTAGATAAAGGGAAAATTCATGTATTTCAATTCACAATAATGATAATACACTTTTTTACAGACATTCTAAACACATTTTATGTGGAAGAAACAGAATCAATTTATTTGATTTATTTTAACAGGAAAGCATAATGAATAAATATAATATTGATATAAATCTGGAGGATGTTTCAAAAAAAAAATCTCGATTTAAAGAGATCACAACAATAAGAAAAAAAAAATTGCATTACTTGATTTTTTCGAAATTTCATTTGTTGGCTATTATTTTCCCATCATTTCTTTTTATTTTTCTTATCTTTAAACTTTTTAACTTTATTCGGCTTGCTTTGAACTTTATGTATCATTAGGTCTCTGTACAAAGTCAATGGCCTTTTCTTGGATTTTTTCACATGTTTAGAGAAGGTCGGTTGATCATTGTTACCATTATGTGTGGCCAATGTGATGAAATCAGATTTAATCTTGTTCAGTGGTTCGAGTTCAAGTTCGATTGGTTTCAGATTGATGGCATTCTTTGGTACAAATGCTCTCTGGTTCGGTTCGCATTTTTCTTTCGTCAAATAGAATCGATTGACTTCAATGCATTCTTCTAGTGTTTGTTGTGCCTTGATTTCCGGTTCATCCACTTCCATTTGGCAGTTTTTACTTTCCCTGCGTTGGTCAAAATATGATTTAATGGTGGCGGGCACAGGAAAATATTCAGAAATTAGTTGAGCCGTCCATTTATTCAATTCGGCCAATTGAGACCAATTGTCAATCACAAATGCATAGCATGAAAAATTCAATATTGGCCGGATCCCAGTCGCTAAACTGGGCACACAGAGAATTCGAATGTCTTCATTGGCGGCAAACGCTTGCAAAATGATTTGATTGGCTACATATCTTGGCTTTAGATCGGCTGACAGCACCAGCAATTTGATTTGTCCACTTTTGAGCTTCCGGATTGATGCTTGCAGACCGTAATGAATGGGTCGACAGCTGAAATAGAAAGCATTTGCGTGAATATTGTCTTTTGAAGATTGAAATTCGAAATAAACAACAAAAAACCGAAGGGTTGTAACAGTGATATGATCGGCACATGAGCACCATCTCTACTGATTGCCATTATTGCCATGTAAATGAATAGAATGTCTACTTCTTCTTCTTTTTCTCAACATCAATTGCATACGACTTATGGTAACTCTCCGTAATCATTAGAGGTGGCGCTACTTATGCGCATCAATTGACTTTTGCATTGGCTCTTATGTACTGTGCGTGCCTTTTGCAAAAAACTCACCTTTCACTGACTTTCTTCCCTGCGAACCATTGTGAATTTGTGACTTGGGCCGCCTTCAGTAAGTCGAGCAGTTGTTGCGATTGTTGTTCGTTGAGCTGTGGCCTGGAATCAATTGAACATGTGAATTAACTCAACCGGTATCACGAAAAAGAAGCAGTTCATACTTACCAATATCGTGGGAATGTTTGTGCCAGCGCATATCTGAATGACTTCTTTGTTTTCTTCTTTGACTTTGCCGAGAGTGTGTGAATCTGTTGCTTTGTCGACAATTCAACCGATTTTGTTGCCATTTTCAACGTTTTTGTCTATCCCAAAATGCACAAAAACTCACAATGTTTTGAAACCGAATGTGCTTCTCTGGCTATGCCTTGACAGTGGTGTGCAAAACGTCATTCACTGACAGCACGTTTTAAACAGGGTATGTTCAAACCGTAGCAGTGAACATACCCAGCGATTCATTGGTTTCAGTTAATGCTTTTTTTTCTCTTTTCATGTTCAATGCAAATCCGATCGAAGCAACAAAATAATCGTATTTAAATCCTCTGCAACAAATTACCATCAATGCAAACTGATTTTATTCTTCTTCGTTTTTTTCCCTAATATAATGTGGATTTAAAAATCCGTTTTTTCTCTCTCAGTCTCTTTCTCTCTCTCTCTCTCTCTCTCTCTCTCTCTCTCTCTCTCTCTCTCT